TTCTCTGAACGTCTAATCTCGGGGTCAACGTACTCCCGAATTCGACCTCCTAAATACAGTAACTACACCGGATGACAAAACGTCAGTGTCTTACTTACGGAAGCTTTTAAGTCCTTGGATAAGAGTTTACAGAAAGTAATTCGATACTTTGCAATGAAATAAACGAAATCCGTCTAACCAGGAAAAGTGCGCTTCGTTACGCAAAGTATTGCACTATTTAATTCTAATTTATTTTAATTAACATCATTAATCAGTATTATATATAAATAAATACATATATATATATATGTCGTTATATTTACTTCATTTTTTTTAATCAAGGTTAAGTTAGCCATTAATTCTTCTTTCCTTACGCAATTATTTCGAAATAAAGCGAAGGGCTTTCACTTCTACTTGTTCTACGTTAAAGAATAGGAATTTCTTTCAACCTCGGCCATAATATGAAACTGGGTTGATTTAATAACGTGGAGTGCAACGGATGTGAATGTTTCGCACCGGATAAAGGATCGAAGGTCGGAATGACGATATTAAACTTTTATTTATTTTTATTTTTTATTTTTTGATAAAATATGGATAAGATTTCTATTCTTAAATTTTAATTTAAATTTAATAAAATACTAAGATTTTTTTTAGCAAAAATTCTCTTTTACTGATTTTTTTATCAATCGAAATTTTTTAACAGTTTAAAAAAATTGCTAATTTTTTTTTGTTAAAAAATCGTTTAAACATATTTAAATTAAAAATTTTTAATGGTTTAAAGTGTTTTAGAATTGTTTAAGATAGAGTTTTAAACGATTAAAAGTACCTTTTAATTCAATCTAAACACCTTAAACTGTATTTTTAAAAAAGAGATTTTAATTGGAATAGTTTTTTAAAGCGATTTTTAATAAAAACTAAAACTTTTTAATCAGGAACAGAATCTTTTAACAACCGGAACATGTGCCCAGACTAAAACCTTTTAACAAGAATGGACTTTTTATCGAAGGACTCAGCGCTTTTCAATAAGAACAGGAATCCATTTAAAAAACAAGAAGTAACTCTTAATATTGGCTTTTAAAACTTAAAAAAATTTAATTATAAATTTTCAATCTTTTAAGTCAAATTAAAAAATAAATAAATAAGATTTTAGTAAAACTTCTGAAGCTGTTAAAGTATGAAAACTTAAATTAAAGTTAAGATATTGAAGCCTTTTAAGAAAATATAAAGAAGTTTAATACGAGCTTAAGAGGTTTTCTTTTTTATATAAAAATATAATTTAAATATATCTAAATTTTAATGTTCTAGAACTGAAATATAACTGTAAAAGTTTATTATAAAATTACATATTTTAATTACCCTCTCAGAGCATTTTAAAACTCAATTTTTAAACTTTTTCTGAAGGTTATAAACTACTTTTTTGTAAGTGCCGCCATTATTACGATACATTTTTCTCTTTAATGTTTTATTACAGCTAGAATTCGGGTACGATATATTCTTTTTAAAATCGTTTATTACAGCCAATAATAGCACAAAAATTGACCATTTTGTATCTTTACGATGCGACGTCAATATGCCTCTGATATGAGCCATTAAAAATTCTACCAAATAAAAAATAAAACAAATAAAAAAATAAAGCTGAATAATTATATAATTTTAAAAAATGCTGTTGTCTTTTTAATATTATTATTTATAAATTTTCTAAATAAATAAAACGTTGAGGAAAATCGTTATAAGGTGATCAATAACAGAGCATCTTGTCCAATTTTCTGTTCATCAACTGCACGATTGGCTTGTCGTGTTTTGATGTCATCCCAAAAACCTGAGATAAAATAACGTTAGAAGTACTAGGGTGGTGTTAAGATGACGGCTTTATCAACTCTATATTGTTGGAAAAGCGCCAGAAACTTTATACAGTTGAGATTTTGTAGCATTTCGCCTTTAATCCATGGCAAAATGTTTTCTACTGTTGCTTCTTTAAGCAATTTTTTATCTAAAAAAATTGAAATAAACTAGGCAATAAATTCTTAAAATATCTATTTTGCACATATACATATATATGTTTAATTCTTAGTAAATAATACACGTCTTAATTAATTTTGTTTATATTCGACTTCAAAAACAGTATAAATTATGACTTCTTTTCTCATTTTGCCAAGTGGAAGAAATGATAAAAATTTATAGGCGCTTGTATAAATCATAAAGTAAAAATTTAGTAATATAAAACTCTCTTTTCTTTAATATTTACACTTAAAAATCTCGTAAAAATAACAAGAATCGTAAGAGAAAGAGGAGAGAAAATTTTTCTAATTAGAGACATATATAAAAGATATTGTTATAAAAAGCATAAAATAGCTATAAAAGTCAACAGATTATTTTAAAACAAATTAAAGTTACAGGTTAGTTTTACGTAAACAACTTGATTAACGACAAGATGTTAAAAGACAAAGAATTTTTGCAATAAAAAGAAGTCGTCAACAAGGCAGTTGTTTAGTTGAAATTGTGCGAAATATTTTGAACGTTACTTAAAAACTTTTATAGTTCTTATTTTTATTTTATTTTATTTCTTATTTGCTTATAATCGCTTTTACTATTTAACTATAAATAATCCAAGAACAATTGCTAGATCGTGAGATTTCTGTTACCTAGTAACATCATAACTTCTTTCTATTCAAATTTCTCTCTTGAATAATAAACTTTCGACTGTAATATTGTTTAAATATTACATAAATAACGTCAAATAATATTTGTTTAATGTTTTTTTATTGTATTTTCTATGATTTTAATTGAATTGTTTTATGTTCTACCCTCAATTGTATGAGCTGTAGCTCAAGACATAAAACTTGCTTACTTACTTCCTGAGAGTAGGAGATCATCATCTCTAGTTTCCGGTTGGATAAAGACTTGAAAAAGAATCAAATTACTAAAAATGCAAAGCGAAAACTTCAAAAATAAGAATAAATTAAATCAAATTTTATTCAGTTTTATTGGTCTTTTAACTCGCAATAAAATTTTATAATAAGTTATACTTTATACATTCATTTCTTAGAAGAGCTTCTAATACCAGTGAGCTTTTTAATCCTTCCTTACAGAGTTTAATATGTTATTTCTTATATTATAACCGATCAAACGAATAAACACATCTTAAATATGCTTTTTACTTTATAGAAAAATTATATAAGATAATGGAAAGTTTTATATAAACGATAATTCGCAAGACTGTAAAATTACATTTCAATCATGGGAAAATAGTTTCATCTTTTGTCTTTTTTTACACTTTTTGTTTCTGGATGGTTTTCTCTTTGCTTCGAGAGATAATACAATTCTTCACAAAAGTCCCAATTCGACTGTCTGAGAACGACTTCCATTGAAGTTCCTGACAAAAATTCCAAAAGTTATATCAAGGACAGATTCTATCAGCGTCATGTGTTAGTTTTTTTTCGTCATCCTTTTTCTTCCTTCCCTTCTTCACTTCCCGAAGGAGTGAAGAAGAATTGGTAAAAGAAATCGACCGAAAGAAAGAAATGATTTTAGATATCATTTATATAATTCTGTGTTTCCTTTTTTCATTATATAAAAACATTTTTCGTTATATTTCTTCAAAATTAAAGTTATTCTTTTTCTCCTTTTCCTTTTTTTACTGTTTATACTGTATATATTTTATATCTAACTTCTAACCTACAACTTTCTAGAATTAAAAAAATAAATAATAAATCTATTTTATAAATTAAAATTTTATTTTTCTGGTTTTTTAATGTACAAAACCCGTTATTTTATTTAATAAGTAAAAAAATGTACCTTTACTTTAATATACATCTAAAAAATTAATGAATTTTCTTCGACAGTAAAGAAAATATTTTCAGCAATAATATAACTTTGAATAATTTAGATAATATGTAATTGTTTTCCATGATTTTCTATCCATCAGCATCATCTATAACAAACATTTCCAGATATATAGTATCAACGTCTAAGACGCATCCAAGAATGCAATGCTTTACAGTAATAATATAATATTAAAAGTATACAACATCAGCATCTGTTATATATCAAGCAACATCATGTTTTCCAGTAATATTACAATATTAAGAATGTAAATGAGATGTTTAATGTAATATTTACTCTTTTCTACTCTTCTCTATCCATCATCATCTATAACACACACGCACATTTTAAGATGTACTGTACAACATATTCTAATGCATTTGACATTAATATTTATCTCTGATGTCTTCTTCCACTCTTTATTCGTATCAATTCATTCGAGCAATATTTTCCAACTCATTTTCTTCAATTACCCATTTTATAAGTCACCATTTTCTAGAAACAACATAATGCTAATTTATCATTGTAATTATCCATTCGCACCACGTTCAACCAAAGTTTGTTTCGAGATAAAAATCCTTCCCTACGAAAATACATATTTTAAACTCGAATACGTTTATGGTAAATTTGAAAAAGAAAAATGTGTATAAAGTAAATTAGAATTGAATTAATTCGGCCTTTAAAAATATATATATATATTTGATTTTGACAACACGTGCACTAAAGTTATAGTAAATAGAAGAATTTTAAATGCAACGTGACAAATGTCGCGATGCATTTCAGTCACGAAACTTTAAAATTTCAATCGATGGTAGAAGGTTCTCTCAGACTCAACATAAAGGACTACTTTTCTTCTAGGCACCAGTCAATATTTCGAATTTCTAAAGTACACTTCACTTTCTTTTACACTATACATATCGCATACATAAAATATAAACATCTTTAACTCGTCTCCATTCACATCGACACGAGTATAAAGTATTTTATAATGTATAAAGTAAATCGTTACGTCATATTTCTTAAAATATACACTATACTTTAATTAAAATATATAAAATTTTCGTAAATTATGACAATTCTTTATAGCTTTCAATTATTGATAAATGGATTGTTTTATCAATAAATTTACATATATAACATTTAGTTAATGTCCAATTGTAAGTCATTGATTAGTAAAAATTGTTTACATGTTGACGTAAATAATTTTGTTGCTGTTGGAAACCTATCAACACACCATTGTCACATACTTCAAATACGCGTTAATGGTATCTATAAATATCAAATAATTGTATTTAATTTATAAATTCTAATAAACTTATTGCAAATTCTTAAGAAAAACATTATTATATTTAAAGTAAAATTAATTATTTTTAAACAAATCAGCTTCTTAAGATCAAGATAATTCTTCGGAGTTACTGAGCGAATTTTGCATTTCTCTCTCCTTAAAAAATTAAAATTTAAATAAAATATTTAATTTTAACTTATAAACCTTAATAAATTTTAATTAAAACTTTTAATCTTAATCAAAAGAAAATTAATAAATTCATTTTTTAAAAAAGAAGCTTCAAAAATTAAAGTACTGTACTGTACGTGTTTTCTTCAGAATAAGAATAAATTTATTCCACCAAAAATTTAAATATTTAATTTTAATTTATAAATCTTAATAAATTTTAAGTAAAATTTTCAAAATTTTTATTTTAAAGCGTGATTAATAAATTTATAACCCCGGAAATTAAGGTACATCCCCAGAATTAGGGCGCAAATTTTACATTTTCTCCAAAAAAAAAAAAATTCGATTTATTTTTTTCTATATTTATAACTTAAATAGGGTATTTACTATCTATAATAGTTAAAAAGTTCGACCTCATCCTTCATCGGATTCCGTTTTGTAACCTTAATACATAATTTATATCTAAAAATGGGTGTCTTCCTACTCTTTAATATTCACCCATCTTATTATTTTACATTTTTTTTTTAATTCTTTCTTTTTTATTTAAGTGTATGGTGGCAGTTGTGCACATTGCACGTGACTGTTACCATGGTTAGTTTAGTTGATATATGCACAGTAACAGGTACTCTTACGGAGTATGAAGCAATAGAAGGAATGAGCAATGACCCCGAAACACAATCTCTGGTTTTATTGGAAAATTTATATATTTGTGTTGTTAAAAGGTGTTAGTAATCAGGAGACGGATGTTATACCTTATTTTCGGCAGATTTCTTTGCCTGATGATCACGTGGTGCATAGTCCCGTAGAAGAAACCATTAGGCACCTATTGGATACGTTACTCAATAGACTTCAATGTGTTCAACTTGGATTAACTTTTGTAGAGTGCTTTCGAGTAAGTAGCAGGAATTTATATGTTTTTTTTTATATATATAAATGGTTCCAGAAACGGGTGTGGCCATTTTATTCATAGAATAATTTCAGGGTTCAATGATCTTACCCTTTGTTTCTTAATTCATTTATTACAAAAGTTCAAGTTTCTAACGTAACGTGTGACAGGTTAGCTACTGTTATTCTCCTTAATGTTACTTTCTAACATTAATTTACTATTAAAAAGTAATTTTGAAATGTATAAACTTATTCTATGATTAAAAATTAATGATTTAGTAATAAAGTTTGGTTAGGAATTTAAGGATTTTCTTTTAAAATAAGGAAAGAAAAATCGAAAATTTGTTAAATTTTAAATGTAAATTTAGTAAATGAAATAAAATTGAAAGCACTTAAAAATAACATTATTCGTAAATTGAGTTCTTTTTTTTATAAAGTATAAATAGAAATTTGAGAATTCATTATTAAAGAAGTAAATAATTGACAGTTAAAATTGAAAATCGTAAATGGAAAAATGTTTAAAGAAGAAAGTAGATATAAAGATATTAAAAAATAAAATTAAGATATAAAGTAATATAATAAAATTTATAAAATTTAATGAATAAACTTATGTACTGTACATAAAATTAATATCCTTATATAGAATATATAATAGAATATTCTGTATGTTGTATACAGTACAATAATGCAAACAGTACGCGTAGCCTATATTTATACAGTACATAATACAATATACTATGTACTATATACAGTATAGGCCTATATATATTCATATATAGTGTAGTATTACGTAGTGTATATTCTATATGTATACCATTCATAATATTACAGACTATATTATATAATAATATGAATGAATTATTCTTAGCTTTTATTTATTCATTTTTTACATACTTTTACTTTTTTTTAAGATTTTTATTTTTCTTAATTTATATATTTTGATCACGTTTTTAAAAATGTTTTTTTTTTTTATAAAGAATAAAATTTTGGTTTATTGTACTTTAAACTTGACTTTAAAGTAATATAAGAAACATTAAAACAATAAACAAATTTTTAAAGATATTCAGATAAAACTATAGTATCAAGCAAAACTATTAAAATCTTTTCTAAAAATATTTTAAAGTATTGTTAACAAATGCAGAGAATAAAGTAAATAATTTTTACTTTGCTTTTTATATTTTAAGTAAAATAATTTTGAGATATAAAGTAAAGAATTGCGAAAATTAAAACTGTTTTACGAAAAAGAAAGTAACTTAAAATATAAATTATAATTGTATAAAAAATACTAATTAGAATTTTCAATCCAAAATATAGAATTAAGAAAATCTTAGCCTATGCCTTATTATCAATGAATCTTTTAGATGGCAAAGAGCTCTCAACTAGAGTGGAATTGCCATGTCCTTTTATATAAATTTATAAAATTTACAGCTCATATCACACCATATATAATATTGTACAAGGTCTAGAATTCTTCTAGTAGTAGTAGATGCCAAGTGAAGAATCTGAGTATCGACAGGTGCGTGTCTGAGGCCTATAAAAAACACCAGGCCCTAGGGAAAAGACTATTTTGCCTACGCCTAAAATCTCTGTTATTTAATGAATAATAAATATATTACAAATCAGAAGTAATTTAATTTTTGTACTAAACTTTAAATGATGAGATATAATATCCTTTCAAATAAAAAGCAAGAAATAAAATACTTTATAAAAAATGAATATTAAAATATTCAATATATATAAAAGAAAACTTGAAAAACATTTCACAAGAAAAGAAATGGTTATGTCATTTTATATGAGAAATTTTGAAAATTGAATCTCATACAAAGATATATTTTTGTTTGAGATAGACCAGATCCTAATTTTCCATATCATATTATACCTGTATTGTATTATATATTAGATATTTTATATTTAAAAAAATAAAATTAATAAATTAAATATTATCAATAAAATTTCTGAAGTATTATATAAGAAGCCAATCAAGTTGCAAATTTTAATTATTTGAATTCGTTGCATTGTGACAAATTTTTAAAACTNATAAAATTTTGGTTTATTGTACTTTAAACTTGACTTTAAAGTAATATAAGAAACATTAAAACAATAAACAAATTTTTAAAGATATTCATATAAAACTATAGTATCAAGCAAAACTATTAAAATCTTTTCTAAAAATATTTTAAAGTATTGTTAACAAATGCAGAGAATAAAGTAAATAATTTTTACTTTGCTTTTTATATTTTAAGTAAAATAATTTTGAGATATAAAGTAAAGAATTGCGAGAATTAAAACTGTTTTACGAAAAAGAAAGTAACTTAAAATATAAATTATAATTGTATAAAAAATACTAATTAGAATTTTCAATCCAAAATATAGAATTAAGAAAATCTTAGCCTATGCCTTATTATCAATGAATCTTTTAGATGGCAAAGAGCTCTCAACTAGAGTGGAATTGCCATGTCCTTTTATATAAATTTATAAAATTTACAGCTCATATCACACCATATATAATATTGTACAAGGTCTAGAATTCTTCTAGTAGTAGTAGATGCCAAGTGAAGAATCTGAGTATCGACAGGTGCGTGTCTGAGGCCTATAAAAAACACCAGGCCCTAGGGAAAAGACTATTTTGCCTACGCCTAAAATCTCTGTTATTTAATGAATAATAAATATATTACAAATCAGAAGTAATTTAATTTTTGTACTAAACTTTAAATGATGAGATATAATATCCTTTCAAATAAAAAGCAAGAAATAAAATACTTTATAAAAAATGAATATTAAAATATTCAATATATATAAAAGAAAACTTGAAAAACATTTCACAAGAAAAGAAATGGTTATGTCATTTTATATGAGAAATTTTGAAAATTGAATCTCATACAAAGATATATTTTTGTTTGAGATAGACCAGATCCTAATTTTCCATATCATATTATACCTGTATTGTATTATATATTAGATATTTTATATTTAAAAAAATAAAATTAATAAATTAAATATTATCAATAAAATTTCTGAAGTATTATATAAGAAGCCAATCAAGTTGCAAATTTTAATTATTTGAATTCGTTGCATTGTGACAAATTTTTAAAACTAACCAATTAAACATAAATTAATTGCACGTGACT